CTTACCCCTAGGGTCGGAGGTAGCGAGGAAATGGTCAGATGGAAGGTAGGCCGGTCTGTTTATGTGGCGAATCCCGCATAACGTGCTGGCTCGTTATTCGTTATTAGTTATATGCGAATCCCAAATAACGAGTTGGCTCGTTATTCGATATTCGAATCCCGAATAACGCGCCCTCTTCACGTTGCCACCCATAATGGTAGATTTAGATTTACAAACACCACGTAAATTTACAGTGAGTGTAAAATAACTTTGAGGTAAATTTTACAGTGAGTGTAAGATAACTTTGAGGTAAGTTTACAACCACAGTGTAAATTTACTGTGAGCGTGAATTTAACTCACTTTCTATTTACAAGAACGAGTTATTTTACACTCACTGTAGTTTTACATGCTGTTTGTAAATCAAAAACTACCACTTAGGTGTAAATTTACAAGTCAGTGTTAAAATACAGTCGATTTACTGGCAACTTCCTGCCAGTCAATTTACGGTAAAAATACACAAATATTATTTACAGTGTATATAGAAAGCGACCACGAGTATGAAAAAACTGAAAACAAGAAAAGTACGTCATTCAGCAAAAGTGACGGATGCTGCCTGAAGACAGACGATAATTGAAATAAAATTTGATTGATTAAAGTTTCATGAGCTTAATATTATTTCGCTTATATGGCGACGTTGCCAAGATTATTAGGGTGGGGTGGGGTAACCGTGATCGATGCCCGGAAAAAAGCCCCCGACCTCACGTTAGTTTCTGGTGACCATCCCACCTAAGGCCGGTCGAGAAAATTTCGGTCGATTTTACGCCCTCATAAATTAAAGGAAGGATATATCTTGGATTGAAGCGGAGATCCCGAGGTGAAAAGGTTATACCCCCGTCAGACCCGGGTGGCGTCCTTACTGCGCTGCTACGGCGATGGAAATTGGTTTTAGAGCGCGTCAAGATCGCCATAAGCGTAGTAGAAACGCCAGCTATCGTTCTGTCGTCTCCATGGTCACCAATGATCGCAGTCACAACGTTTGTTTTGAGTATGGTTCTGCGATCTGAACTAGAAAGCTATGAGAATGCGACTTTTTTCAAGTTTGTAATTTTGGGTACATTTTCTTGTGTTGTGTTCAAGTTTGCCGGCGACCTTGTGCATTTTCTGATCGCCGTACGGTCGCAGCAGCGCGGTAAGGACGCCACCCGGGTCTGACGGGGGTATTATCACCTAGGTGACAACTAAAACCACAAACCTAAAACTACAAAATATCTATAAGTCGTATATAGGCCACCGTAATGGGCAGATTTTCCACAATACATGGTAGGATGTAAATTGTTTTGAATTACGTTTTCGAATAGAAAGGCTGGAAACAATAATACACCATAGTCATATATACTTAGTCCCGTGGAAAGTGAGAGAGAGAGAGAGAGAGAGAGAGAGACAGAGAGAGTGAGTGAGAGAGGGTTTAACGTCCACTCGACAGAAACTAGGTCATTTCGGGACTATCACATCGTTCAATTATATTTCAATACTTTGCTTGCGCGTAGGAGTCTTTATCAGTGGGAGGAAACCGGGGGACCCAGTGAAACCCCACGAGGTTGGACAGGCGACCCTAATCCTTGTCACGCAAAACCCGGGAATCGAAACCCCGCCAGCTGACTCAATGACAGACCTTATGATACAGCGCGCACATGCTAACCATTCGACGATCCAACCCCCCTCAACTGCAATCAACTCGGTCGCGGGGACGGTTAATCAGCCGAAAATAATAGTCCACCATTGTTAGCAACTCTTTTCCGGGAACGGTTAATCCGCCACAAATAATATTATATTCCTTGTTTTCATATGGAAATATTTTATACCAGTCGCGAGTTGATTTATTATTTTGCTTCAGTTTATCTGTGATTTGGTGATGTTTGGCCAAACCCCGTGGTTACCAATTGAGCTTCGTCATGTGAGTGACATTGACCCAGTAGCTGTGCACTTGCGGTTTTGGAGTCATACTACATCTAATTTAGGGTTAGGTTAGAGTTTGGGTTAGCGCGGCTAAAATTTGGGGACTGACATATTTTATTTTTAAAATGTGAACTTTCTGAAACCATCAAACTTACAGCCACATGATAACCCTATTCTACAGAATGAGACATTGTCCCTGTTAAACATAACATCATTGGATGTATCACCATATGTCGGACATGTAAATCTATAATCCCCTCCTTTAACACCATATGGTGCCGATCCTGATAAACAGCAGCTGGGTCACCCGTGTAGTCCTTGTAGAGGTGGTTGTTCTACAGTTAACAAGAAATTTTATGTCTTGAAATATTGTCGGAAATTCTTAAAATTCGATATGCAGCGACTTCTATATAATGTAATATGACGCAATAGGAGGAAACACCCACAACGCAAACAAGGGTAACACTAACGCTGCATGATCCGTTCACGTTCCTGCTTTTGTGATATGGTTATTACTAAGGGTTTTATAATGGCTGCCTTCTAGTAGAAAGTGGGCTTCATTTTCTACTTATACATCAAAATATCTAACTCTGTAACTAATTTTATCAGGGATCATCTTTAGTATCCAATAAACATTTCATGCTTCTGTCATATTTTCTTGGGAAAAAATAGTAGTGTACAATCAGAATGGGTAATATATTTTGGGCCCACCCTGTATATGAGATATATTTGGCAGATGTTCTAGACAATGTGAGAAGAAGAACCTGCTTCGTTGGTTAACTGAAACAATACTTTAGACATAAATCAAAATCAAATAACTACATTCATATCTCCACAATACTTTTAATATAATCTTACCTTGACATATTACAGATACGTCTTTATTATGATAACACGGGTAACCAAATCCATAATTATAATATCCACAGTCCCTAATATACTTTTCAGTTCCATTACATTTTACTTGGGCTACTATTTCTCCACGCTCCACTCCAAAGTAGGCTTGGTCTTTACTTACTGCTCCTGTCCTAAAAATATTATTATACACAGACATAACCGCTTATTACCCAGGTCAACGTTCAGTTAATATGGTGTATGTTATATTCAAACATAGATAAACAATTTGTACAAATAAAAACATTTATGACAATAACGTATCAGTTATTATATGTAAGACAACACAGTTAAAAATATTAAGGTAGTTTCCACCCGAATTGGTGTAAACTACCTTAATATTTTTAACTGGTACCTGACAAGAGGGTTGGTGTTTTAAGTTCATTTTTTTAATTTAGAGGGGCGTTATTGTCCAATAGACAGTGTCTAATCGACCAATTAAAACGCAAGATTCGCCCTTAAACATTCTCACTTCATTTTTTTAAAAGTATTTTTTTTTAAAATAAACTTTATGTATTTGTAATAGATTATTGTAGCTGGTACCTGACAAGAGGGTTGGTGTTTTAAGTTCATGTTCGGACATACCTCCAAATTGATTGTCTCCATTGTGGTTATCTCCATTAAAGTAGTACGCATAATATTAATACGCAGTGATTTTTTTTAATTTAGAGGGGCGTTATTGTCCAATAGACAGTGTCTAATCGACCAATTAAAACGCAAGATTCGCCCTTAAACATGTTACAATCCCCAATAATAGTTACACATTTTGATGTAAATGCAGTATAACACTGATAGTGGTGTGGCGTATCCAAAACATCCCACAATTGCACCTATTCAGGTGTTCAGTAGTCATGAATATCGGTTACACTTGTTAGGTGTAGTTCTTTTAGTTGCTTACCTTTGGAAAGGTATTACATTTAGAAAACGCTAGCTGTGGTGTAAAGTTCACACCCATTTTTTACAGTGTAGATAGATAAATTAATATTAATTAACTACTTCCAGTTAATATGTTATAGTCAAATACACATAAATAATTTATATATAAAAAACATTTATAGACTAGATAGATAGATGTATTCCATGTTGTATATTTACCCACTATATACTAGTTGTTTACAAACCACCGATGCCGGTCTGTAGTCCAACACAGAACAAACTGTTCTCCATTCTCTTTTATCAAATACCTCCAATCGTCCTTCATGTGGCCCAGATCCTCCAACTAGTCGCAGTGGAAAAACTGGAATAACCCATAGACCGACCATCAAACATATATCGCCACAATCTAACTCAAAATGTGGGCTGAACACTATAGAAAAACTTAATTGGAAATGAGAGATTTTAATATTAATTTTTACTTGAACATGATTTATTTCAAAACGTTTTACATACTGTTATAATACATTGTAGCAACAGACCAGTTAACTTTATTATTTCCTTTTGAAAATAAGTCTGAAAGTTAATATCTTTCAGCATTTACAAATCTGACTCAACCACTGTCTGGACATAAACTAGGAATCAAAACTGCACCACTTGACTCAATGACAGACCTTATCATTTAACTCGCACTCGTTATACCATTCGCGTCCTACACACATATATAACCGAGGTGTGTGACTACTGATTGAAAACTGCAATTTTTATCATGATTTCCTTGTGTTTTCATCTCATCCACACAGATTCATTAGCATTTAGCATTACTGGCTATTATTAAATTTTCTCGCCCGTTTATTTTTAGGAACAAGGTCATAGATGTCATGTTTATTTGGTGATCAACACCCGTTTTGGTAAGAATAATTTTCCCACAAGTTTTTTTTTATATTTTTAGATTACATTAAAGGACGGGCATACAGACAGATTGTGAAAACTATATAATAACTTAGATTTCCTGTTCTGTTGTTATAGACTTACATTTACAAACGACCGACGCATCAGATGTACCACTGCATTCTCCGGGTTTAAATTCTGGATCCTTGCAATCTGTTAGTAACGACTCAGTTCCGTTACAATTAATATTAGATACCAGAAAAGGACCTGAACCTTTACCAAAATCAACATTAACATCAGGATCACCGCCATCGCTATTAAATAGAAAGTGATGAAATGGATTAAAACATGTATACAAAAGACAACATAAAAGATGTAATTGAACAGTTAAGGATTAATATCCTTCATCAAGTAAAAACTGAAATTCAAAATGATATAAGAGCCTTGGTTGAAGAATTCAATGACCTAAAAGAAAAATATTCAAAACAAAAACTATAAATAATGAAATTATTGCTGAAAATAAAAGTTTATAACGAGAAATAGCTGGAATAAAACAAGATCAAAATGGTCTCAAACTGAAAAATAATGAAGCGATAAGTATGGCAAATTACAACGAACAATACTCCAGAAAACTGAATGTGAAGGTTTATGGGATAAGAGAATAAACCGATGAAAACATTAGACTAAAATTCGTCAAAGGATATTACAGGTGTTAGTTTATCGCCAGATAATTTATTGGCTATACACAGATTGCCTTTAAAATATAGTGACAAACTTAAACCAATTTTAGTCAAATTTGTAAATAGTGAATCAAAGTCTAGTGTGATGCTTAAACGAAAATAACTTTTAAAAATAGAGTATTAATAAATAGGCTGAAATCATGAGATGGAGTTTCGCCCTGCTATAATAAATGCAATTTTTACGCGAAGCTGGAAGGAAGAGGCCCCAAAAAGTCTGAATAAATTGAACAATGCTTCTCCGGAAATAGCGATATAAATAGACGAATTCATGACAGACATACGTGATGCGACCACTGTGTGAAAAAAAACGCAACTCTATAAAACTAACCAAGTAAATTAATTGTATATAATTGTTATTTTCGAGGATTCAAACTGTATAGTTATTTTTACACATTTAAAATGAACTCTGGTGAAGATCTACATAACTATAGTAAAATATCTGCGACTGAAAAAAAAATTACGGACACTCTGTAATAGTGAATAACAAATTGGTTTATTTAGACGCCACTGTGTTATTGCTACCTGAAAGACAAATAAGAGCAAAGTTAGCCAATGGATGTAATCAATGAATTTAATAGGTTGTATTTAATTGAAAGTGGTATAAATCATTTATATAGAATTGGAATACTTTACAGATTCATACCTGTTAAATCCTAGATGACGACAAACTACTTGAGCTTCATCCTGTCCAAAACCATCACTACAAACTCTTCTAAATGAGCCGTTGTGCCATACCATCACTCGTCCTTCCGTCGTACTCTTTCCGCCAACTAATTCGATAACTGCGGACAAAATAGAATTTAATGGCTAATGACTTGTGTCGATTTCCTACGGATTTCTCGTGCTTATAAATGAAATGGGGTTTAGCGTCCAACTTTTCTGCAACGACAGACATATGTCATATACAGTGTGCCATGAGGCAAATTGTGTCCGGGCTATTGTGCTACTGCCTACTGTTATTTAAATTTCCAATTGTCACAGGCTCTTTTACATACACGTCCCATCCGAACAACTAGATACTGCCCTTGACAGGTCCTTTGTCCTGCATCACTGACAAAGAGAAACCACGCCGGACAATCCCAAGAAACTTTCTCGACCAACACCGGTAGCCAACCCGATATCCCGGTTAGCGAGCCAGCTTCTTACTCACTCAGCCACCCACCCTGTGCTTAGAAATATTTAAGTCATATAAATGTATTAATTATACAGTATTATCTGTATTAACCCTTGTGTGTATACAAGGGATATTTCGGGACCCCACGACCATATCCTTAACGTTTGTGAGGAACTGGTTCATACTTATCTAGCAAGAATTTTATACATTGTCAGCTACGTAATGTTGAGTATAATGTTGCAAATAGAACGGACATTTGGCAGTGGCAAAATTTATCATTTGACAAGAAACTACAAGTATTACATTATCGGACACAAGGGTTCTTGTGGACCCCTCTCCACCATTTTCCTTTTAACATTTTGCTGGTTACAAGTGTCTTATCTGTTCTGCGCTGGGTGCTAGCTCTGTATTTGGAATCTTTCGTAATAATGATATTGTTTTGGTCATTCTAGTAATCTAGATCTGAAAACAAATCTAGGTACTCTACCAACCCCATCAAACGACGGATTCTACATGGAAATGTCAATTAAATTATTTGTAGATTTGTATGGTTACAAAAACCTATTTATGTCTGGGGTCTTAGATTACCCCTTGTTGCCGACAGCGTTTTTCGTCCGACGTGACCGCACAAGGGTTAAAGTGATAGTTGCATTTGCTTAAGTGTAAAATAAAACCTTAAAACACATAATCTATACACAGTTAAAGAATAATCTTATAATTCACTATTCCAGACAGATAATTATGCTATTATTTCGGGTGTTATGATTATTTTTAGTGCTAGAATGGTTCTTATGATTATATAATAGTGATATGACAACTTAAAATAAAATAGGTATGGTGTTAAATGATTGAAGTAGAGACAAAGCTAAGGAAGTGTATCGAGATTGTGGCAGTGATCTCACACTTGTTGCTAAGATTTCATCTTATTTCACAAATAACCAAAATTCTTGAGGAACAAAAAGTGACTACCGTTATATCTGATTTCCATTTCAAAATCGTAAAAGAATGTGAAATAAGTTTCATGTCAGTATCACTTTATTTATAAACATGTATCGTATTGGTTCAAAATTTTAAATTGAACCTACCTCTACAGACCACCGATGCGTCTCCGTCATGAGCACAAGAACTTATGTTTCCCCAATCACCATGAGAACATTCGGCTAGGAGGAAACACCCACAACGCAAACAAGGGTAACACTAACGCTGCATGACCCGTTCACGTTCCTGCTTTTGTGATATGGTTATTACTAAGGGTTTTATAATGGCTGCCTTCTAGTAGAAAGTGGGCTTCATTTTCTACTTATACATCAAAATATCTAACTCTGTAACTAATTATATCAGGGATCATCTTTAGTATCCAATAAACATTTCATGCTTCTGTCATATTTTCTTGGGAAAAAATAGTAGTGTACAATCAGAATGGGTAATATATTTTGAGCCCACCCTGTATATGAGATATATTTGGCAGATTTTCTAGACAATGTGAGAAGAAGAACCTGCTTCGTTGGTTAACTGAAACAAAACTTTAGACATAAATCAAAATCAAATAACTACATTCATATCTCCACAATACTTTTAATATAATCTTACCTTGACATATTACAGATACGTCTTTATTATGATTACACGGGTAACCAAATCCATAATTATAATATCCACAGTCCCTAATATACTTTTCAGTTCCATTACATTCTACTTGGGCTACTATTACTCCACGCCCCGCTCCAAAGTAGGCTCGGTCTTTACTTACTGCTCCTATCCTAAAAATATTATTATACACAGACATAACCGCTTATTACCCAGGTCAACGTTCAGTTAATATGGTGTATGTTATATTCAAACATAGATAAACAATTTGTACAAATAAAAACATTTATGACAATAACGTATCAGTTATTATATGTAAGACAACACAGTTAAAAATATTAAGGTAGTTTACACCAATTCGGGTGGAAACTAGTTGCCACCTAAATGTAATGTTACATCCGTGGGTTTAGATTGAGCATTAACCATCAAGAATGGTTTGTAAATTACACTTTCATTTTAATTATTACACCAACGCGGATGTAATTTGTTTTGTTGGATGTTTTTTTTTCAAGCCAACGACTTCTAAGTTCGGAAAACGTGAAATTGGCTATCGGTCTCTATAATAATTAGTATAGGGCGTTTAGCCCGACCCAGATTACATATAGACCGTCATGTACTACGCGTCATTTTACAACAACATTAAATTAACAAATACCCATCAGACTGATTCAATTTCAATTGCTGTTGGGCAATTAGACAATCTGTATCAATTTACAATGAATATAAACCACAAGGAAAAATTAGTACACATATCCTTATAACTTAGCTGAATAATGTGGTTTATTCATTTATGCACCTCACCTGAATCAAGAATTATTAATTAAGATCTAGTACCTGGTTATATTTTGGAACATTTACACGCTAAAACAATTTATACTTTACTCGTTATGAGTAAACACTCTAAACTGAGTTATAGTTGTATTACTAGTACAATCAAAGCCATATTTTATAAAAAAAAAAACAACAACCAAACACTCAAATTAGAGTATACAAATACTTTTGTAACGTAAGATACGGTGTAAAATTGACACCTTATTCGGAGGAATGTTTCCGAAAATAATTACACCTATTGGTGTAAATGCAATAAAACGCTTGTAGAGGGGTAGCTCACCCCAAACACACTTTAGAGGCTACAATTACACCTATCCTGGTGTTCAGTACTCATGAATATCGATTACACTTTTGCAACCCAATAAACGCTGTAAAATTAACGCTGTTCTATGATTTATTTAGGAGATAAACACCTCCTGTTTCGCATTTAGATGGGGTGTTATTGTCCAATAGACATGTCCTGAGATCATTAGGACCCAAGACGTGTTCTAATGTAAAATCTCAGGACATGTCTATTGGACAATAACACCCCTCTGAATGCGAAACAGGAGGTATTTATCGACATTGTAACATGCTATTTTTTAGAATTTCAAAAGAACTCATTTTATTGTGTAAACTTCAAAATTCGTCAAACTGCAAATCGGTTTTAATGACGTAAAAACCAAAGAAATCAATTTTGACGTAAAGAAAACGTCGTATCGTAACGGGATAACGGGCTACTCTCGTTAGATTTGGCTCGCTTATCGTTTGGTTGCTATAGTAGCAGTATGAGTATAGACACAAAAACCCCCCCAAAAATTCTCACTTCATTTTTTTAAAAGTATTTTTTTTAAAAATAAACTTTATGTATACTATTCAAAAAAAGTAGGGGATATTTGATTTTTAAGTGTTATTAAAGTCACCTAATGAAACTGACGAAGAAACAAATGACAAAATGAAATGAAGTTCACATTCATCGATTTATTCCAAATGATCGTTAGACTAAGTAAGGCACAGACTGGCCATTATAAGGGTAAAATGATACCCAGGGTCAAACAGCAAAGTTACCACAGCATCACAACCAAGTCAGTAACGGGTAAATCCTCCTCTGTTTGCCAAACAAGCATTGATCCGACGTGGCATACTCCTAATGAGACGTCTAAGGTCATTTTGGTCCAGATTGTCCCATTCCTGTTGCAACGCAGCAGCAAGTTCTTGGACATTGGCAGGACGTTGTTGACGTTGACGTAACCTCTGTGCAAGCATGTCCCAGACATGCTCGATGGGGGAGAGGTCGGGACTCAGTGCTGGCCAAGGTAATGTGGTGATGTTCTGTTGTTGGAGGTAACCTGTAACGATCCTGGCCCTGTGACATCTTGCGTTGTCATCCTGGAAGATGAAACGGCGGCCATGACGTCGTGCGAACGGCACAACATGGACTGCCAAGATGTTGTCCCGGTAGTACTGGCCTGTAACACGCCCTGCAACAACATGTAAAGCCGTTCTTCCAGCAACAGTGATGCCTCCCCACACCATAACAGAACCACCCCCAAATCGATCATGTCTGATGACGTTAACGTCTTGGAAGCGCTCGTTTCGACGACGCCACACCCTCCTACGTCTGTCCAAAAAATCAACAGTGAACCTTGACTCATCTGAAAACATCACATTGCTCCAGCGTCGATTATCCCAGTGTTGACGATCCCTACACCAACGACGTCTTGCCTGAATGTGATGATCTCTCAAACAAGGGATCACGCGAGGACGTCGGGCGCGAAGGTGACCCCTATGCAGTCGATTCCGAATCGTCGGGCCACTCACTCTCACACCAGTGTCTGTTTGAAGACGAGCGCTGATCTGATTTGCTGTGATGACACGATTTCTCAAGGCCAAGGTACGGATAAATCGATCCTGGGCTTGAGTTGTCGCCCTTGGTCGACCTGAGCGTGGTCTGTCCTGTACAGATTGTGTATCACGGTATCTGGACCATAGCCTGCTTATGACAGACTGAGAAACATTCATCGTCCGCGCCACAACCGCCTGTGTTGTGCCGATCTGTAGCATGCCAAGGGCACGTAACCTTTCATTTTGGGTAAGCCGACGCATATCAAAATTTGTTTTCTGGTCACTAAAACTATTAAACTGATGTTTCCACCCTGGAATTCAATGCCACAATGACTGTAACATTCAAAGTCAGAGTCGTGCAAATCTTGGGTTGGACCCCCATGATGATCCCAAGCATCACCTGCATTCCATGCGGTACCCATTGGTGCGTTTGGGCGTCACATGTAACTGGAAATGTTTCTTCTGTTAGGTTCTATAGTGACTTTTTTCGTAGTCATTTGCATATTTTAGTATTATGCCCCCAAAATCAAATATCCCCTACTTTTTTTGAATAGTATATTTGTAATAGATTATTGTAGCTGGTACCTGACAAGAGGGTTGGTGTTTTAAGTTCATGTTCGGACATACCTCCAAATATTTCATCTAATGTACCGAGGTCAAAATTGATTGTCTCCATTGTGGTTATCTCTATTAAAGTAGTACGCATAATATTAATACGCAGTGATTTTTTTAATTTAGAGGGGCGTTATTGTCCAATAGACAGTGTCTAATCGACCAATTAAAACGCAAGATTCGCCCTTAAACATGTTACAATCCCCAATAATAGTTACACCCTTTGATGTAAATGCAGTATAACACTGATAGTGGTGTGGCGTATCCAAAACATCCCACAATTGCACCTATTCAGGTGTTCAGTAGTCATGAATATCGGTTACACTTGTTAGGTGTAGTTCTTTTAGTTGCTTACCTTTGGAAAGGTATTACATTTAGAAAACGCTAGCTGTGGTGTAAAGTTCACACCCATTTTTTACAGTGTAGATAGATAAATTAATATTAATTAACTACTTCCAGTTAATATGTTATAGTCAAATACACATAAATAATTTATATATAAAAAACATTTATAGACTAGATAGATAGATGTATTCCATGTTGTATATTTACCCACTATATATTAGTTGTCTACAAACCACCGGTCTGTCGTCCAACACAACACAAACTGGTTTCCATTCTCTTTTATCAAATACCTCCAATCGTCCATCATGTGGCCCAGATCCTCCAACTAGTCGCAGTGGAACAGCTGGAATAACCCATAGACCGACCATCAAACATATATCGCCACAATCTAACTCAAAATGTGGGCTGAACACTATAGAAAAACTTAATTGGAAATGAGAGATTTTAATATTAATTTTTACTTGAACATGATTTATTTCAAAACGTTTTACATACTGTTATAATACATTGTAGCAACAGACCAGTTAACTTTATTATTTCCTTTTGAAAATAAGTCTGAAAGTTAATATCTTTCAGCATTTACAAATCTGACTCAACCACTGTCTGGACATAAACTAGGAATCAAAACTACACCACTTGACTCAATGACAGACCTTATCATTTAACTCGCACTCGTTATACCATTCGCGTCCTACACACATATATAACCGAGGTGTGTGACTACTGATTGAAAACTGCAATTTTTATCATGATTTCCTTGTATTTTCATCTCATCCACACAGATTCTTTAGCATTTAGCATTACTGGCTATTATTAAATTTTCTCGCCCGTTTATTTTTAGGAACAAGGTCATAGATGTCATGTTTATTTGGTGATCAACACCCGTTTTGGTAAGAATAATTTTCCCACAAGTTTTTTTTTATATTTTTAGATTACATTAAAGGACGGGCATACAGACAGATTGTGAAAACTATATAATAACTTAGATTTCCTGTTCTGTTGTTATAGACTTACATTTACAAACGACCGAAGCATCAGATGTACCACTGCATTCTCCGGGTTTAAATTCTGGATCCTTGCAATCTGTTAGTAACGACTCAGTTCCGTTACAATTAATATTAGATACCAGAAAAGGACCTGAACCTTTACCAAAATCAACATTAACATCAGGATCACCGCCATCGCTATTAAATAGAAAGTGATGAAATGGATTAAAACATGTAAACAAAAGACGACATAAAAGATGTAATTGAACAGTTAAGGATTAATATCCTTCATCAAGTAAAAACTGAAATTCAAAATGATATAAGAGCCTTGGTTGAAGAATTCAATGACCTAAAAGAAAAATATTCAAAACAAAAACTATAAATAATGAAATTATTGCTGAAAATAAAAGTTTATAACGAGAAATAGCTGGAATAAAACAAGATCAAAATGGTCTCAAACTGAAAAATAATGAAGCGATAAGTATGGCAAATTACAACGAACAATACTCCAGAAAACTGAATGTAAAGGTTTATGGGATAAGAGAATAAACCGATGAAAACATTAGACTAAAATTCGTCAAAGGATATTACAGGTGTTAGTTTATCGCCAGATAATTTATTGGCTATACACAGATTGCCTTCAAAATATATTGACAAACTTAAACCAATTTTAGTCAAATTTGTAAATAGTGAATCAAAGTCTAGTGTGATGCTTAAACGAAAATAACTTTTAAAAATAGAGTATTAATAAATAGGCTGAAATCATGAGATGGAGTTTCGCCCTGCTATAATAAATGCAATTTTTACGCGAAGCTGGAAGGAAGAGGCCCCAAAAAGTCTGAATAAATTGAACAATGCTTCTCCGGAAATAGCGATATAAATAGACGAATTCATGACAGACATACGTGATGCGACCACTGTGTGAAAAAAAACGCAACTCTATAAAACTAACCAAGTAAATTAATTGTATATAATTGTTATTTTCGAGGATTCAAACTGTATAGTTATTTTTACACATTTAAAATGAACTCTGGTGAAGATCTACATAACTATAGTAAAATATCTGCGACTGAAAAAAAAATTACGGACACTCTGTAATAGTGAATAACAAATTGGTTTATTTAGACGCCACTGTGTTATTGCTACCTGAAAGACAAATAAGAGCAAAGTTAGCCAATGGATGTAATCAATGAATTTAATAGGTTGTATTTAATTGAAAGTGGTATAAATCATTTATATAGAATTGGAATACTTTACAGATTCATACCTGTTAAATCCTAGATGACGACAAACTACTTGAGCTTCATCCTGTCCAAAACCATCACTACAAACTCTTCTAAATGAGCCGTTGTGCCATACCATCACTCGTCCTTCCGTCGTACTCTTTCCGCCAACTAATTCGATAACTGCGGACAAAATAGAATTTAATGGCTAATGACTTGTGTCGATTTCCTACGGATTTCTCGTGCTTATAAATGAAATGGGGTTTAGCGTCCAACTTTTCTGCAACGACAGACATATGTCATATACAGTGTGCCATGAGGCAAATTGTGTCCGGGCTATTGTGCTACTGCCTACTGTTATTTAAATTTCCAATTGTCACAGGCTCTTTTACATACACGTCCCATCCGAACAACTAGATACTGCCCTTGACAGGTCCTTTGTCCTGCATCACTGACAAAGAGAAACCACGCCGGACAATCCCAAGAAACTTTCTCGGCCAACACCGGTAGCCAACCCGATATCCCGGTTAGCGAGCCAGCTTCTTACTCACTCAGCCACCCACCCTGTGCTTAGAAATATTTAAGTCATATAAATGTATTAATTATACAGTATTATCTGTATTAACCCTTGTGTGTATACAAGGGATATTTCGGGACCCCACGACCATATCCTTAACGTTTGTGAGGAACTGGTTCATACTTATCTAGCAAGAATTTTATACATTGTCAGCTACGTAATGTTGAGTATAATGTTGCAAATAGAACGGACATTTGGCAGTGGCAAAATTCATCATTTGACAAGAAACTACAAGTATTACATTATCGGACACAAGGGTTCTTGTGGACCCCTCTCCACCATTTTCCTTTTAACATTTTGCTGGTTACAAGTGTCTAATCTGTTCTGCGCTGGGTGCTAGCTCTGTATTTGGAATCTTTCGTACTAATGATATTGTTTTGGTCATTCTAGTAATCTAGATCTGAAAACAAATCTAGGTACTCTACCAACCCCATCAAGCGACGGATTCTACATGGAAATGTCAATTAAATTATTTGTAGATTTGTATGGTTACAAAAACCTATTTATGTCTGGGGTCTTAGATTACCCCTTGTTGCCGACAGTGTTTTTCGTCCGACGTGACCGCACACGGGTTAAAGTGATAATTCACTATTCCAGACAGATAATTATGCTATTATTTCGGGTGTTATGATTATTTTTAGTGCTAGAATGGTTCTTATGATTATATAATAGTGATATGACAACTTAAAATAAAATAGGTATGGTGTTAAATGATTGAAGTAGCGACAAAGCTAAGGAAGTGTATAGAGATTGTGGCAGTGATCTCACACTTGTTGCTAAGTTTTCATCTTATTTCACAAATAACCAAAATTCTTGAGGAACAAAAAGTGACTACCGTTATATCTGATTTCCATTTCAAAATCGTAAAAGAATGTGAAATAAGTTTCATATCAGTATCACTTTATTTATAAACATGTATCGTATTGGTTCAAAATTTTAAATTGAACCTACCTCTACAGACCACCGATGCGTCTCCGTCATGAGTACAAGAACTTATGTTTCCCCATTCACCATGAGAACATTCGGCTAGTGTCCTGTCAGATGATTGACAATCAACCCCATTTAACCAAATTGGACCAACACCTTGTTCAAAATAGGCTTTGGAGAGCGCCATCGCCCTGGTTCTAAAAATAGTCCCATATTACATATTTTCAAAATTAATTAATACAAAAAATGCAAATATAAAAGCATATATAAGATACCCGACGGGTCATCATGATATACCCGTACATGTGTAGATGGTGCTGAATTAAAAACAATACATTTGTATACAAATTATCGCTTTTAAAAGCAAGAACTGTAAATTCATATACAAGTTGCTGATTCACCTATTGGTATGTGTGATAGTTTTGACACTATTTTAAGATTATCTTACACACACTGTAGTATTACATATCCAACAGCATCCTGGACGGGCTCAGTTGTGTCTAAAACACCTTCATTTCTTGGTGTGTTCACCGGTAAAAGACTAGGCACTGCATGTACATGTATGTCTTAAAGGACAATATTGGTATCAGTCATTATCACGTATGTGATAAAAGTGGTTAAACACGTTCCAAATATAATCTTAACACAGAGATCATTGCTACGATAGATGCATAATAAAGGTTTCATGAATCGGAAGTGAGGAACGCAAAAGGAGGCAGACCACCATTAAATTTCACCATCTCGGTACCCCCATTAAATTTCACCATCTCGGTACCCACAAATTGTAGTTCGTCTATTTATAGCAATTCTCTCTCTGTTTCTTTTCTCCCCTTTTGCATGCCCATTTTTGTCGATTTTTGGTCTAGAATGGATGACGAGGGTTTGAATTAACATTTTCTGCCAGGTTTTGGTAAATATTCATGATTTTGGGACGGTAGGATAACGGGGTTATCAGGTTGGCTACGGTGATATGTACGGCAACTAGTTACATGTTTTTAGTATGCTTCTTCAATTTTGTGTATCTCAAAATTTTGGTGGTCAACCTCATACAAATTTTAGTGCAAAGACATGACCATTTGTTCCTCTGTCTATAGTGAGAAGCATTCAGCCCAACGAAAATTTGGAGGCCAGAATTAACATTGATGTCAATGGGGAAATTAATGGTGGTCTGCCTCCAAAAGGAAAACACGAGTTATCCCTCTATATATAACTGATTGACGTGACGAGTGATAACAGATACACGGCCCAATTTCTGCTCCCTAATAGTCCCTTCGAAACCAAAAGTTGTTATATGGGACTGTAAGAGGATACCTGACAATTCAATAAAGTAATTGAATGTCATTAGACAAGAGAACACGAGAAAAATAGAAATAGTCCGTACATTCCCTTGTTTTTATTCATTCTATACCTTATAAAGACATGGTAATGCACGGACTTTTTCTGTTTTTCGTTCATGTTCTCTTTTGGTCTTCGAAGGAATTATTAGTGAGCAGAAATTCGACCATGTATCTGTTATCACTCGTCACTTCAGTCAGTTCCGATTTTTGAAACCTTTATTACTCGTCTATCGTAGCAATGATATTTGGAATGTGTTTAACCAGTTCTAACACATATGTGATAATGACTGACACCAATATTGTCCTTTAATGGAAAACGTGATAAAACATCATGTCCACAGATCAGCTTAATGTGGAATCACAATTATCATGTTTTACGAACAGAGGTAAGCATACTCTATTCAGCGTTTGTCATTAAGCCTTAATGATTAATTAAAGATAAATTATGTAAGATTTAGATAAAGAACTGGCCATTCTTTCTATACTAGCTCAAAAATAGATCATGTAAAATGACAGTATAGAAAATTGCACTCAAAAGACTTTATTCTGAGCCAAGTTATCACGTTTTGTAGTCACCACTAGTGATATTTATGTTTGGAAAAGTAGACAAATCTTACGGGCTATATCCAAGTTGTCGACATACAACTGATGCATCTGTATCGTCCCAAACATCATCACAGACAGTACCCCATTTATTATCATGAAACACTTCAACTCTTCCTTCATGTGGTCCAGATCCTCCAACTAGTCGTATTTGTTGGGACTCTATAAAGAAATAGTTAAATCCTTAATACAACCGGATACGGGAACCCCTACCTCTAATGCCTCATAAAACAAATTTCATCAATACGCTTTAATACTAGACTCACAAATTACAATTACAATGAGTACATCACTTACTAATTACAATTAGTACATCACATGCTGTAAATACTGACATTTGAGAAGAACAAACGAGCAATTTTTTCAAATATGAAAGCGTTCTATTACCTAAAGCCTTATTACGAAAACGTTCTTACACATTGGATTGTACTTTAAGGGATACTTAACATTTGAAATTTAGAGAAAATAATGCCAAAAATCGTCGCTGTACAGACAAACATCCCAACCCTCACAATATGGCAACAGGTGGGCAATATTTTGTAATGGCGCCCTAATGGGGTTTAGTAAATGCCACAGGGGGCGCAAAACAAAACGACCGTATTTCGCGTGTAAACAGGTTTGGATCTGTGAGCTAGTATCCCGTCCAGGAGGGATAGAGACGAAGCCCTTGGATATTTTTGCGATTTTGAACCCGTTTTGCTGTTACCATTTTATCCCTAGCTATCAGCAGAAACAATCTTTAGGGGCGGGGCCTATGAAGCGAAATGAAATGGAATGGGGTTTAACACCTAACTGTTACTGTTTTATCCCTAGCTATCAGCAGAAACAATCTTTAGGGGCGGGGCCTATGAAGCGAAATGAAATGGAATGGGGTTTAACACCTAACTGTTACTGTTTTATCCCTAGCTATCAGCAGAAACAATCTTTAGGGGCGGGGCCTATGAAGCGAAATGAAATGGAATGGGGTTTAACACCTAACTGTTACTGTTTTATCCCTAGCTATCAGCAGAAACAATCTTTAGGGGCGGGGCCTATGAAGCGAAATGAAATGGAATGGGGTTTAACGCCTAACTGTTACTGTTTTATCCCTAGCTATCAACAGAAACAATCTTTAGGGGCGGGGCCTATCAAGCGAAATGAAATGGAATGGGGTTTAACGCCTAACTGTTACTGTTTTATGCCTAACTATCAGTAGAAACAATCTTTAGGAGTCTGTGAAGCGAAATGAAATGAAATGAAATGGGGTTTAACGTCTAACTGTTCCTGCACCAACCGGACTAATAAAGAAGGGCGTACTCTAAACACAATATAATATTTACCCCTGGCCCACGGTAAACAAGCTACTGTGGCTAGGGTTAGCTTATGCAAAACATATGGTGATCTGAAGAATATCACATACACGCACCCACCCTTCCTCCTAAAAAAAAAACCAAAAAGAAAACAAAAAAACAACCGCAACAAAACAATTAGAATTTATAACAAACAATAGACCTGTTACGATACGCTTAGATGTACATTAATTTGATAAAATACTTGACTGACATATTTAACAGGTCATTAAGATATTGCAAGACAGCAAGTGGCCATATATTGCAATACTGTTTTCAACTGCAATACTCCCAGCCTACTGCAGCCATATACGTTTGAAGATGATAGTCTTAAAAGGACACAGCTCACCAAATATCTCGACGCCGTCACCGAAGGGCGAAAGTTATTTTTAGTCTTTCTCTCCCTGTCCCTTTTGCATGGCGATTTTTGTTGACTTTTTGGTGTAAAATCGACGAAAAGAGTTTGAAAATACACTTTCTGTCAGGTTTTGGTGAATATTCATAATTTTGAGGCGGTAGGACACAAGAGTTGAGAGGTTGTTTAGGTTAAATTGTTGGGCCGAAAATTGCATGTTTAGTTATCTCTACTTCCAGCTTGTGTATCTCAAGTTTTTCATGAGAACCTCATGCGTACTTTTGGGCAAGAAATTGCCACATGTTGCTCCATCTGTGGTAGAAAGCGGTCTATCGAATGAAAATTTGGGAAGAAGTTAGAGCCGGTCTAAGAGACGAGAATTAAGATTAAAGTCAATGAGGAAATCATTAGTGATCTGTGGCCAAAACTGGAGAACCAATTGAATCGTTGAAGTTATAAATAGATATGTCAGAGCACTTTTTACATATTGACCAGTCCTCCAAAATCAAAAAATTATCATACTCCAGGGGGAAATGGAGCCCCCCCCCCCCCACACACATTCTTTAAAACGGTTCATTTCTCAATAAAGGTCCATTAATTTTAAACCCTTAACAATGGCCCCCATAATCCATAAACACATAGTAGTTATTCATGATTTCCCATATAAAACCCGTAACAATGCTCCCCCAATGGGCGCCAAAGGCGCCGTTTCCATTGGAGACGCAATACGAAGCCAACGACTAACGTGTTCATATCAGTATGGGCGCTCTATAAAGCCGAGTTACTTTGGTTGGGCGCCCACTACGAGTACATCGGTGCCCTCAGAAGCCCCATCGGCGCCCCCAGCAGCCCTTACCCCCCCCCCCCCCCCAACATTTTTGGGCTAGGCACGGGCCTGTAACATTTAAATCATTATAGATATTAGTATAATTCACTGATCTATACATAAAGCATTTAAATTATTATAGATGTTTTCTTACCGATTTTTACAGTCAATACCAATAAATTAATGATAGTAATTGCAATAAACTCCTCCATGACGAAACTGTAAAATTGGTTAAACTGTCAAAATGCAAACCATATTTCCAAAATATAACCATTGCGATATGTTGGGCGGGTCAATGGTACAGAGATCCCGTTGGATGAATTCGTATTTTGACTTTGAACAATGGTTCATAGCGATTCCATTGGACAAATCTATAATCGTGAATTTCATGTCAATTGTCAATCATATTATAGCCACTTATACCTACTTCATACATATGTATATATATCCGGCGATTCAAGCTCATAATATATTAATCATTACAAATATTAAAGTAACACTTTATTAGACAATTAACATTTCGTAACTGTTTTCAGTTCATTACAGTTTGAGTCCAAACTTTGGTTTTATAAATTATGTCTTCACAAATTTACTTGCCAATTATGTAAACAATGACATTATACCTATTCATCATTTATACCTATTCATCATTATACCTATTCATCATTATACCTATTCATCATTATACCTATTCATCATTTATACCTATTCATCATTATACCTATTCATCATTATACCTATTCATCATTTATACCTATTCATCATTTATACCTATTCATCATTATACCTATTCATCATTATACCTATTCATCATTGATACCTATTCATCATTTATACCTATTCATCATTATACCTATTCATCATTTATACCTATTCATCATTTATACCTATTCATCATTATACCTATTCATCATTATACCTATTCATCATTTATACCTATTCATCATTTATACCTATTCATCATTATACCTATTCATCATTTATACCTATTCATCATTTATACCTATTCATCATTATACCATTTCATTATTCGGTGTACAGGAATTTTAGCTAAGAACCCAAATAGACTAGGGACGTGGGTTGATAATTTTGAAGAAACACATATTTTACTTAATCCGATTGTCTGGTGAGATATACATAAAAAGATAAATAAAGGTAAATATCAAGTTAAATTGTCTTTCATAATAACTTGTCACAACATGTACAAGTTACCAGAATGTTAAACACCCCAAGCTTGTACAATCCTCATCCTTTATCATATAATAAACATGGTTTTCTCTTCTTACATTCCTTATTCTGCCATTTTGGAGAAATTATAATTACCCCTACAAATATGTAAAAAAACAGTAAATTGCACTATTTAGTGGAATTTGTCACAGTTCTTTTTTCTCGGAGAAGTCACTAGAAAACTAATAATTTAGATTGTAAAGTAAGGATTTCACCAAATTTGACCCACCCCAGAAGGTAATCGTATTCAACCGAATACACAGGGTTTGTCATGCCATCCAAACGACTACACACCGTTCATTGTCAGTCCCTTATAACACACTGCATGGTGTAGTCAGTCCCTTATAACACACTGCATGGTGTAGTCAGTCCCTTATAACACACTGCATGGTGTAGTCAGTCCCTTATAGCACACTCCATGGTGTAGTCAGTCCCTTATAGCACACTGCATGGTGTAGTCAGTCCCTTATAACACACTGCATGGTGTAGTCAGTCCCTTATAACACACTGCATGGTGTAGTCAGTTTGGTGTAGAAAAGTAGGATGTTAAAGCTTACTCCTTTCCCTTGACAGACCGATCAGCCGTTCCCAACTACTAACAAAGGGAAAGCAGGCCGGGAGATCCCTTGACAGACCGATCGGCCGTTCACAACTACTAACAAAGGGAAAGCAGGCCGGGAGATCCCTTGACAGACCGATCGGCCGTTCACAACTACTAACAAAGGGAAAGCAGGCCGGGAGATCCCTTGACAGACCGATCGGCCGTTCACAACTACTAACAAAGGGAAAGCAGGCCGGGAGATCCCTTGACAGACAGATCGGCCGTTCACAACAACAGACCGATCAGCCGTTCACAACTACAAACAAGGGGAAAGCAGTTCGGGAGATCCCGAGGAATTAGTTCGTCAAGACGGGGATCAAACAGATGTGAAAGAGGCTTTATAACTTATCTACAACAACACAGATAGAAATCTAGGATTGAAAGCGATTGGATATTGGATTGATACGTATCCTGAGTTTACTATTCACCAAATCATTCATCCTGAAAGCTTTGGACTTAGTTGTGTCTAATAATATTTTTTATTTCGACAATAATTATCATTCACAGATTAAATAGTAAGTGCAGGGTGACTGCACCATACATAATTTACACAAAAACAAATATATGGACAAGACATCATACTCAGAAACTACAAGCAAACAAACAATTCAAAAAGCGTGAATGGATCCGGGGGCTATTGTTACTAAAGTTGGCCCCACCTATGCAACTTTAACTTTAGGATATTTAGAAGAGATTTGGTATGAGAGGGTTGCTATTGAGTTTGACAGAGAATTCAGTTACATGATAAAAACACTGTGGTTTCTCATCCTGGAAGACTGCGTTACAATACTTAAAGCAGATATGACAGTTATCTCCAAATTACATAAATTATTGAATGAGTTGGACACCAATATCACATTCACTATAGATTTTAACCCAACATCATTAAACTTTTTGGACGTAACAATTAATCTGTTACCAAAGGGGGTGATTGAAACAGATTTGTATTACAAACAAACAGATACCCACCAATATCTAAACTTTCACTCTTGTCATCCTTCTCATACCAAACGGAACATTCCATATAATTTAGCTAGAAGAGTATGTACCATTGTTTCGAACCCGGTTGTCAAAGTTAAGCGACTAGAGGAATTGAAAACCATTCTTATTGAAACAACAATATATTCTAGGTCTAATAGAAGATGCAACGATTCGGGCCTTAAGTTTAGACCAGAAAAAATTATGACTACCAAGAACACATCCAGCATGCGAAAATCTAAATGTTGCTTTAGTCACAACATTTAACCACTAACAAGAATATGGAAAGTCTTTGATGAATAATAATTTAAACATCCTTAAGAATAGTGAGGTTATGTCAAAAATTTGGTCTAAAACTAAGATTATTAACAGTCTTAAACAGCCACGAAATCTAGCTAAATTATTAACATCTTCAAAATTTGAATGTAGTCCAGATACACCGGTGGTAAGTGAATGTGGAAATAAATTGCAAGACCTGTAAAATAATAATTAAGGGCTCCTCAATTCAAATCACCGATAACAAACTCTTTCATATTAAGCAATCCGTGAACTTTAAAACCAGTTATGTCATAATTACATGTGATTGTTTGTTCAGGCTGTAATAGACGGTACATTGGAAAAACTATAAGTATGTTAAAGACAAGGACGAACCTCCATCGACATCATATACTCAATTCACATTATAGGATGATCCCCCTTAGTGGACCTAGAATGAGTTATCAAGGTAGAAACGCACTTGATTGTACAAGATGTTGTCTAGCAATGGCAGATATGGTTCACTAACAGTATGGAAAGGCCATGATATATCCGAAACGCCTGAAGTAGAATCCTTTTAGATTCAGTTGACGCCCATATTAATAGAACACTCCCAATGTACAGTAACACCCCCACATACCAAAGCGTTGTACAAATACGATATATTTTTATATAATAGCATGGTATTTTGTCCGGAATTAGATGTAATGGGCCAATGAGAAATCCGCACTTTTTATAAATGGATGATTGTAAATCCCGATTGAGAGAAAAATTCTGAATATATTATCCTTGAGTGACATTTAACGATTGAGCACATTAAAAAACACAATATAAGTTATAAATATTAAATAAGTCATTACATTACTACCTGTTATTATATTCACTATAAAATCCCAACGGACACGTTATTACAAAAACATAATATGGAACACAATTACTAAATGTCAATTGCTAAATGCCGCTCAAAGAAGGGACACGTTATTGTCGATGGTGCAGTTTGACAAATAATCTGAAACATTTTCCCCAAAACCGCAGACGAAAAATTTAATATAAATGACTATATACAT